CCTCCCCCCCCCCCCCCCCCCCCCGCCTTCTAAGTGCTGTAACCACGCCTGATTATATTGGGGACTAGAGCTGCAGCTTCATGGTGAGCAGGTGCTCTACCAACTAACTAACTGCCCTGCGGCCCTAGCCCTTAATTTAGACATAATTTTTCTCTTGCACTGCCTGGACGAGAAGTTCAGGACTTGTTCAGGCAGCGGCTCTTGATTGATATTCTTTGGGGAGGCCGTGCACACTCTGCCAGCATTGTGAGAGCAGGGGTTAGCTGTGCTGTGACTGCAGAGATGGCGAGCCTGTGTTGCAGGGTGTTTAACTCACTGAGCATGTCTAGGAATGGATGTGCTCCTAGGTGGATTTGAGCTCTGTGATAAATTGCAGGTTTGTTTCCTCATGAGAGAAGCTTCTCCCAGTTCCCTCTGGAAGAATTAGATTCAATCCCATTTGAAATATTTAATTCTTTACCCCCATTTCTTTGCTTTTTTTTTTTAACATTTATTTCATGTACAATGTTCTGCCTGCATGTATGCTTACAGGCCAGAATAGGGAACCAGCTGTCATTATGGATGGTTATGAGCCACCATGTGGTTGCTGGGAATTGAACTCAGGACTTCTGGAAGGACAGTTGGTGCTCTCTCTTAACCTCTGAGCCATCTCTCCAGCCCTCTTTGCTTTTTTTGAACCTTTATTTTAGGTAAAATGTTGGGACATGGCCACTCTGGAGTGCTGCTGGACATTGCCTTCTCTTGGAGGGTTTGTCTACAGCCTGGCCTTTTCTCCTGTGGATGTGGGCTGCTTGGCCATAGGCGTTGGGGACGGCATGATCCGGGTGTGGAATACGCTCTCCATAAAGAACAACTATGAAGTGAAAAGCTTCTGGCAAGGAGTCAAGTCCAAGGTTACGGCGGTAAGGAAGCTTCTTGGAGATTTTTTTCAGATTCTTTTTAGACACTGCTGGAAATCAAAGGAGGTTTAAGGTATCTATGATGAAGCATGAACTTCTCACTGTGTAAGCTCTGAATGTTCTAGATTCTTCCATCAGTTCACAGAGTGTTGTGAAATCACTTAAATATTTGAAGCGTGTGGGGTTGGCCCTAGGTTGTGTTGACTGGTGAGGATGCAATGATTTTAGCTTTGTTTCTGTTTTTCTTACTACATTTATTTGTTTGTGTGTTGGGGGTGAGTTCTTCATATGAGTCTTGGGAGGTTGAACTCAGGTGGTAAAGCTTGAAGGCAAGCACTTTTACCTGCTGAGCCGTTAATGGCCCTTAATCTTGGTTTCTCTGTAGCTTTGGAGCCTGTCCTGGAACTAGCTCTGTAGACCAGGCTGGCCTCGAACTCACAGAGATCCGCCTGACTGCCTCCCGAGTGCTGGGATTAAAGGCATGCCACCACTGCCTGGCTCCTTAATCTTGTTTTAATCCTTTTTTTTTTTTATTAAATAATGAGAATGAAATGAAGAACAAAAAAGTGTTCCATGAAACAGCCAGGACTACATGCAGACTCCTTTCTGTGTACTCATCTCTCATCTGGAAACTTCTCTTGTAGCTCTGCTGGCATCCAAACAAGGAGGGCTGCTTGGCGTTCGGAACTGATGATGGAAAAGTGGGATTGTATGATACCTGTTCCAACAAGTAAGTATGGTGATCTCCCTCAACTTAGTGACCAGAACATCTGTGATGTAAGGTTCAACTTGGAGTCCATAAACACAATAAAGTTGTTTTAGAGTAGAATCTTTTGGCTCTGGTACTGAGGTTCAGAACTCAGAATTTTCTTTAAAAACTTTTTTTGTGAGGGGCTAAGACCGTAACTCAGTGGTGGAGACCTTGGCTCGCATGTGCAGAGTCCTGAGTTTAGTATCTGAGACTACAAACTGAGAAGTGCAGGTACATGTGCAGAGTCCTGAGTTTAGTATCTGAGACTTACAGACTGAGAAGTGCAGGTACATTGATTTCAGCATTTGAGAGGGAAAGGCAGAAAGATGAAGGGTTATATATAGGCCAGCTTGATACACACAAGAATCCCTGTCTCACAAAAGAATGAGGAGAAGAAATTAATTTTCCAGGGCACGACAGTGTAGCCTGACTGCTCTTTAGGAACCACAAAGATGGGCTGGAGAGATGACTCAGCAGTTAAGAGGACTGGCTGCTCTTCCAGAGGACCTGGGTTCAATTCCCAGCACCCATATGTCAGCTCACAACTGTTTATAACCCCAGTTTCAGGGGTCTGACAGTCTTACACAGACATATATGCAAACAAAACACCAAAAAAATAAACAAAAACCATTAAATAATTTAAAAAAGAAAAAACCACCAAGATAAACCTGTGACTTTTTGTATGAAAGTTTCCAGACACAAAGCTGAAAGAGTAGTGGAGAGACACACGTGTACCTTTTCTGTTTGATCTGTGGTTCTCCATGTCTTGTCTCGGGGATAGGGATATGGTTGACTTGGTAGAGCATTTGCCTAGCACCGAAAAGTACAAAACAAAGCTTGAACAGTGTGGCAATGAGACTGGGCATGGTGGTGCACGCTTTTAATCCCAGCACTTGGGAGACTAAGGCAGGTTGATTTCTTCAGTTGGAGGCCAACCTGGTCTATATAAAACAGCACTTTTCTCAGAATAAAAGCAAATACAATGTGAGGGTGCTATTGTGTGTACTTGTAAAGTCGTGTTGTGACTGAGAAAGTTTCAGACTTTTGTTATACACTGATGTCTGGACATAGACTTACTTCCTAGGTGAAAGGTTTTCTGTTTTCTGAGGTGATTTCCATTTGGGTTTCTGTGTCATGTTTGGTCATGTCTTAGCTGTGCTTTTCTCTGGAATACCCGCTTCTTTCCATAGAATTGGTGCATTCCTTAAACTATTACTTGCCTTAAACTAACTCCATAGCAGAGGCTGGCCTTGGCCTCATAGTCCTTCTGTCTCCACCTTTGATGTTCTAGAATTACAGGCATCCATCACCTTATATAATGTATTTACTTTAGTGATTTATTTGACTCATACTAAATCAGTATCACTTGTTCTTCTCTCTCTCTCTCTCTTTCTCTCTCTCTTTCTCTCTCTCTTTCTCTCTCCTCTCTCTCTCTCTCTCTCTCTCTCTCTCTCTCTCTCTCTCTCTCTCTCTCTGTCTTTCTTTTCCTTTTTGACAAAGCATCTCTATGTATCAGAGGCTGACCTGAAACTCATAGGGATCATCATATCATGCCTGACCTCTTTGATCTTTTCCGACCTGACTAGAGAGTTCTAGATTACATTTGGGGTTTGGGTTTTTGGCGCAGACTGTGTATTGGACACAGCTGACTACGGGTTAGACCTGCTTATTCGGTTCAGCAGCCCCTTGCCACACATGGCTATTGATACTGAAAGTAATTGAAATAACATGAGTTTAGAAATACAGGTCTTCATTTACACTGGCCACATTTCAAATCACAAGAGCAGCATGTGGCTGAGAATGCTCCTTTCTAACCGTGGGAATGGAGTGGAGCCAGGGTTTCATGGCGTAGGGAGAAGCAGGATGACAGTCTCCGTTTGTGTAAATAAAATTCTATAGGGACTCATCCGCACTCACTGATTGCATCCTGCTGTCTGCTTCCACACCACAGCACCCATGTGGCTGCAGCACCTGACCTGCTCACTGTCCCTTTATGGGAAAGGATACGAGATCCATTTCTACTGCGGAGCTACCCTGTCTGCATGTCTACCTCCCTCTGCCTTACCTCTTTCTGTCTTTCTTTTCTTTGCTGTGATAGGATCTTTTCTACTGCTGTGATAAGACACCATGACCAAAAGAAAGAGTTTAATTTGGGGTTCCCATGTCAAGAGGGTGAGTTCATGACCAGCTTGGCAACAGGCAGGCATGGCACTGGAGCAGTAACTGAGAGTTTACATCTTGACCCAGAAGCTAGAGGCAGGGAGGACTAACCTGGGAATGGAGCTGACTTTTGAAACCTCAAAGCCCATCCCCAGTGAGACACCTTCATCAAGGCTACACCTTCCCAAACAGGACCAAGAATTCAACCATAAGAACCTATTTGGACCACTCTCATTCAGACCACCGTAGGCCTCATGGATGCTAATCATCGAAGTTGATTCCCCAGTCTGGACGCAGTGCTTTAACAATTTATGGAGAACCTACATCTGTTTGACTATTTCTCCCTTTTTGCTTAAATACTGTTTTAAAGGGGTATATAACTAAACAAAACTATGTTGATTTAAGTAGCACTAAATTGTCCCATAAGTACTCAGTCTACCAGTAGATGAGCTCCTTCAACACGGTTCTGGAGTTCTAAATCCTTACCTAGACGATGATTGACACTGAAAGTCCTAACAGTGCTGTTTTTTCCCAAGAAGTCAAGCCTTGTCGCCCCTAAGAGCAAGACCCCTGGGATACAGTATTAAAAAAAAAAAAAAAAACCTTTAAGAGATCTGCCTCCTTTCAGGGTTTACTGCAGTTTAAGAGTATGGTACTGGCTGTGCTTGGCTTGGTGGTGTACACCTCTAACCCCAGCATTCAGAAGACGAGGCAGATGGATCTCTGAGTTACAGGGCATCCAGGTCCACATGAGGCCTGTCATCCCTCAGGTTAGGTGACTGGTTGTCACAGCCTCTGTACTCCTTCGTAGCTACAGAAATGCTAAATTTTTTTTTTCAAAGTACAGTCATTATTTTTTTTAATTTATTTATTATGTATACAATATTCTGTCTGCATGTATGCCTGCAGGCTAGAAGAGGGCACCAGACCTCATTACAGATGACTGTGAGCCACCATGTGGTTGCTGGGAATTGAACTCAGGACCTTGGGAAGAGCAGGCAATGCTCTTAACCAGTGAGCCATCTCTCCAGAAATGCTAAATTCTTGACGTTGCTTTGCTATTAGCTCTTTAAAGAGACAGAAGAAAAAATGATTCCAGCTGGCCAGCGGGGTGGGCAGTGCGTTCAGTGCTTGTTTTAGTGGTAGATATTATTACATGTTAAGTTTTGCTTTTTAATAACCAACTATTTGGGGCAAAATTAAATTGTTTTTCTTTAATACCAACAACTACATGTATGGAAGGACCTTTCAGAGAAAGATGGTCTGTTTTCTAGTGGGCCTCTTTATTCAAGTCTTCCTGTTCTCCCCATCCACAGACCTCCACAGATTTCAAGCACGTATCATAAGAAGACTGTGTACAGGTTGGCTTGGGGGCCACCAGTCCCCCCAATGTCACTTGGTAAGTGTCTTGATCATTCTTAACACACACGAGTGTATTCTTCCATTTTAATTAGAGCCTGAAGGCTGGTGTGTGTGTGTGTGTGTGTGTGTGTGTGTGTGTGTGTGTGTGTGTGTGTGTGCGCGCGCGCGCGCGCACGCACATAGGTGCACCATGCCTCCAGGATTCTGTGTGAGCAGCAGAGGTGGGTGATGTTGGAGATTAAAGGAAAAGCTTGACTCCCGCCTCCCCCAGCTCTGAAGTACTGCTCTTTTCTTCCACTACACAGAAGAACCTCAGACTGGGTGCTGGCCTTGGGTTGCTAAGGTCTCTGTCTTTCACTCCTATAGCTCTGCCCCTCCTTATTTTCCCACCCTGACTGCTGCTGATTTCCATAAATTAATGTCTTTCTTAATATCTTTTAAAATGAGTCAGAAGTTTTTCCACGTTCTTTCCTACTGTGCTGAAGGTAGCACTGGCTTTGTGTAGAGGGTTGTGTTGCAAACAGGAAATAGCTTTACAACTAAGGGCTGTGCTCTGAGACACAATCTTGGCCATGGGAATCCTGAACTCTGTTCACACAAGCCGTAAGATTCTCGTTTCTGGAAGAAAAACTACGTTGTCAGCTTTCATTTGAGACCATAGCGTTTCCTCTGATCACATCTTTAGTGTTAATGCTCCCGAATGTCAGAAGAGCCTTTGCAGTGAACACAGTATCTCAGGAGTGAACTGGTTTTCCTTCTTCTCACAGCTTTCCAGATTGGTAGGAGGGTGGCTTTACCCCAGCATGTTAGATCTTTCCCCACCCACAGCTGGGAGATAAAGCCGGATGTTAACCGTGGTGTGCTGTGCTAATGATGTACCTATGGAATTGCTACCCTGGGAAAGTGAGAAACTCAGGAGTTTTTCCTTCATAGGAGGGGAAGGAGACAGGCCTTCCCTCACCTTGTACAGCTGTGGAGGGGAAGGCATTGTGCTGCAACATAACCCCTGGAAGCTCAGCGGAGAGGCCTTCAACATCAACAAACTTGTGAGGGACACCAATTCCATCAAAGTAAGTTCCAGTGAGCTGGAGTCCACTCAGCTTCCTTTGGTTTTTCTTACTCAGGGCTTTCTGTAGATGCCTGTGATGTTTAGCCAGAATTCTCAGATAGTTGATAAAGCTATTGACGAATTTGTGGGTTGCCTGTTAGACCTTAGAGATATTTATCATTGAGTAAAGCAAAGAACTGTATGGGAGACTTACTTGCAATGGTAAGATAAAAAATCTTCCTCATCTTCACAGTAAAGCATCCTTTTGGTTTGGGTTTTTGGGTTGTTTGGTTGATTGGTTTGGTTTGGTTTGGTTTTTGAGACAGGGTTCATCATATGTAGTCCTGACTGTCCTGGAGCCCACTGTGTAAAACTCACCTAGCTGCCTCGCCTTTGCTTCTCAAGTGCTGGAGGAAAGGTGTGCATCCTTTTGAGGCTAGCCTTCCAGCTACAAGCGCCTGTTGGCAATGGTGTGCTCAGGCCTTGTCTGCTGTTTTCTTGTGGTATGGTGACTTCTTATTAGCCCAGGCTGACTTCCTGCTCCTCCTCCCCCAGCCTCCCAGGTGCTGAGGTTGCAAGGCTGTGCTCGCAGAGTCACACATGTACAGCAATACAAAACATTCTCTTGGGACCTTTGCCTAGATCTCACATCAAAACACATTTGCTTTGACTTTGTGTCATTGTATTTTATGACTCAACTATTTTAACTTTCTTTTTTGAGACAGGATCAAACATAACTCAGGCTGGCCTCAAGCTTGGTTCCTGCCTCTACCTGCCAGGTGCTAGCATGACAGGTGTGCTCCACAATGCCTGGCTTCTACAGTTGTCCTTAAGTCAAATCATAAATATTGAGATTTCCTTACCCTTGCAAATGAGCAGTTTTCATTGCTGCTTCCTGTTTTTTGTATGCCTATCACAAGGTAACATGATCATAAATCATATGCGATTGTATGCTTTCATTTTCTCCAATGTTGTCTGTGTGTTAACACCCAGTAATGAGCAAAATTCCTATCCTCACAAGGTTTTAGCTGAGTGACAGCTGAGTTTCTATATTAGAGTTCAAATGAGGATTCTGTACAGGAAATAGAAATTTGGAATCTCTTCACATAAATGACTTTGAAAAAGCTGTGGACGGGTAATAGAATAAACAAAAGAAACAAGTAAGAAAAATAGGGTCACGGGGCAAATGACATACACAGCAGGTGGAAGCGATTGCCACCCAGCCTGACTACCTGAGTTCTACATAGAGGCGGAAGGAGAGACTCTGATCCCAGAGCTGTCTTCAGATTTCTACACAATTGTATAATAAAATATTGTTAAGAAAAGGAAGCAGGAGGCTGAAGAGATGGCTCAGCGGTTAAGAGCACTGACTGCTCTTCCTGAGGACCCGGGTTCAATTCCCAGCACCCACATGGCAGCTCACAACTGTCTGAAGATCCAGTTCCAGGGGATCTGACACCTTCACACCAATGCACATAAAATAAAGTTAAATAAACCATAAAAAAAATTTAAGAAAAAAGAAAAGGAAGCAAACAGGCAAAATCCTGACAGGACCTGCGTGACAGCTGATTTGATTTCAAACTACTCATGGGGAAATGCTGGGGCATGTGCATTTCGCACAGGGGACTGTCTTTTGGTTAGTTTATTCTGTAAGGTGGAAGACTACAGACAGTACTTACCGGACTCTGTTCCATTTAAGAAGCTGCAGTCAGAGTACTTGTTCTCAGTAACTCTTTGGCTGAATGTGGTTAGTCTAGAAAACTGCCCTTCAAAATCAGAATATGTTTTGTTGGTTTTTTTTTTTTTTTTTTTGGTTTTTTCGAGACAGGGTTTCTCTGTGGCTTTGGAGCCTGTCCTGGAACTAGCCTGTAGACCAGGCTGGTCTCGAACTCACAGAGATCCGCCTGTGAGCCCTCTGCCTCCCAGTGCTGGGATTAAAGGCGTGTGCCACCACCGCCCGGCTCAAAATCAGAACATGTTTTAACCCCAGGGAATTTTTTTTTTTTTTTTTTTTTTTTTTTTGCCCTCATGATGTCATTGAATTGTAAGATGAAGAGCAGATGAAGTTTTTTACACCCATGCCTGGCTTGTTCTACTTTCTAGTATAAGCTGCCTGTGCACACAGAGATCAGCTGGAAAGGAGATGGCAAGGTCATGGCTCTCGGCAATGAAGATGGGTGAGTGTGTCTTTACAAAAAGTTGTAATATTGTAGCGTTCGCTAGCTGCCAAGGCTTTCTGCAGTGCCTAGTGGCAGTCCCATTGTGTTCTGTGTCACTGTGGACATCCTCGGCTCATCTGGACTCTATATCTCTGTGAAGACAGACTGTTTGAATCTTACAGCTCATTGACAGTGTCTGACTACACTGTGTTGGCTATTGGAGTCTCACTGTGACTCTAGGCACAGCCCAATTCTCTCAACCCCCCCTCCACCCTGAACCAGTTCCTGGTTCCTTGTGAGAGAAGGGCCTCTGCCAGGGATAGAGCGTGCCATGCTTTCTATCTCACCTTCCCTGCACTGAGGGAAGAAGGGGGGCTTGTAACTTGATTAGCTTTCATTCTCATCCTGCTGTCTTGTTCTAGGTCAATAGAAATATTCCAAGTTCCCAACTTGAAACTACTCTGCACCATCCAGCAGCACCACAAACTGGTGAATGCCATAGTCTGGCACCATGAGCACGGCAGCCGTCCAGAGCTGAGCTGCCTCATAGCTTCTGGCTCCAACAATGCAGTCATCTACGTGCACAATCTGCGAACTGTTCTAGGTAACACTGACCTCTGCTGGGATGATACAGGACTTCAGGCTAGCCTCCTATAGCCCAGGATGACCTGGAACCCCATCCTGCCTGTGCCTTCTAAGCTCTGGGATTGCAACCTTGTACTTCCATGTCCAACACTAATCTGGGATTCTATACCTAGGGGAAGATCCTTTAAATGAAGGTGAAATTATAGACTTTACAAATAGATTTTTTTTTTTTTTTGATGAGGGAATTTGTCACCAGGAGAACAGACTGTATTACCAAAAATGTTGGATTTCTTCAGGTAAAGGAATTGGTAGTGACTAGAAACACAGAACAGTTGTTTGGTCACTGTTCTGCGGTTTATCTGGTATTTCCTCATGGATAGCTTCAGATGATCTGTTACTACCTAGAGTACCATCAAGTGCAGGGATGTCCAGAGGGAGGTGCTCTTGTGTTGGCCTCTATCTACACATCTACGGTAGCCTGCCTGGAGGCCCTGTTAGTGAGCTACATTGTATTTTTATCTGTACTTTTGAGCAGATATCATTTCCTTCTCTTTTCTCTCTCCAAACCCTTCCGTGCACGCTCCTCGACTCTCTTTCAAATTCATGTACTTTTTTTCTTTAATTGTGGTTGCACATACATGTTCCTAAACATAAATGCAACGTTCCCGGTCCATTTAATGTTATTTATAGGTATATGTTTTAGGGCTGACAGTTTGGTGTTAGATAACCGGTTGATGTGTGCTTCCCTGAGAGAAGACCGTTTTCCCTTCCTCAGTGTTTCTTAGTTGCCGTTAGTTCTTTGTTTACTGTTGAGGCCTTGTAAGTTTTCTCCCTTCACCATTAGTCTATTAGTGTCCTATTTGTTCATGTTTGGGTAGCCATACTGGTGAAACTTTATGGTCTTTTCAAGGAGACACAGTCTCATGCAGATTCCCTGATCTCCAGCTCTTTTTTGTTGTTTGTTTGTTTGTTTGTTTTAAGATTTATTATGTATACAGTGTTCTGTTTGCACAGCATAAGAGGGCACCTGATAGATGTTTGTAAGCCACTATGTGGTTGCTGGGAATTGAACTCCGGATCTCCCATTCTGTGGCTCTTATAATCTAGTAAGCTATAGTAAGCTACATTCTTTTCTTTCTTTTTTGTTTTATTTGGGGTTTTTTTTTTTTTTTTTTTTTTTTGAAGGGTCGGGGGTAAGACAGGGTTTCTCTGTGTAACAGTTCTGGCTGTCCTGGAACTCGCTCTGTACACCAAACTGGCTTTATAACTCAGAGATTTGCTTGCCTCTGCCTCCCAAGTGCTGGGATTAAAGGTGTGCCACACACACACACACACACACACACACACACACACACACACACACACAACCCGGCTGAGCTACATTCTTACTGAAATCTCAAAAAGCCTTCCTTGCCTCTTGCCCTGTTCTGTCTTCCTGTGTATCCTTTCTGGGGCTGTTGATGTGACTTCTTCTCCTTGCCTTCTAGAGAGCAATCCTGAGTCTCCAGTAACCATCACAGAGCCCTTCCGGACCCTCTCAGGACACACAGCCAAGGTTACCAGCCTGGCGTGGAGCCCTCATCATGATGGAAGGCTGGTATCTGCTTGCTATGATGGCACAGCTCAGGTACTATGCGTCCATGAGCCTTTGTTACTTGGTGTGGGGGAGGGGTGGTAAGGGGTTGGTTTTTCTAAGCAGGGTTTCTCTGTGTAATAGCCATAGCTTTCCTGGAATGACTTATTGTAATTTAAACTTTCCCTTCTTCCCTCTCAGTTTTGCGTTGTTTTTATTCCCCTCCTGTCTACAGAAGGACTGTCTGAGCTAGAAGACATAGTTTCATCATAGCCCTTGACAGATCACTTTTGACTTATAGTCAGTGTCAGGAGTTCTGATTACTCTGTGTGGTGGACCCAAGTGGCCCAAAAAGTGTCCTTCAACCAAACCAACATAAAGATTTTAGCTAATTGTAGATACTCTTTTTGTTGTTGTTTGGGCTTTTGCTGCAGGGTTTTGTTATACAAGGCGAGCTGTCCTCAAACTCTCTATATTTTGATTTTGTTTAATTAACATTGTGTATGTGTTGGAGGAGACAGGAAAACTTACAGGAGTTGGTGCTCTCCTCCCATCTTGTAGGTCCTAGGGATTAAATTCAGATCATCAGAGTTGGCAACAAGGGCCTTTTCCACTGAGCCATCTCACCATCCTGTCCTCAAAGCTTTAATCCTTTTGCTTCAACCATCCGTGCTATAACTATAGGTGTGGGCCACATGAGATAGTGTTGTCTCATGAATGCATTAGGGACTTTGCAAATCATGTGAAAATTAAGGCCCATCATGAGTTTATTTTAATTGAGCAAAATTACAATCTAGAACAATATAATTATCAGTTGTTTGTCCTATCATACTAATGTTGGTTCTAGGTATGGGACGCCCTCCTGGAAGAACCTCTGTTCAATTTCCGAGGACATCGAGGCCGGCTGCTATGTGTGGCATGGTCTCCAGTGGACCCAGAATGCATCTACTCAGGTGCAGATGACTTCTGTGTATACAGGTGGCTGACCTCCATGCAGGACCATTCCCGGCCTCCTCAAGGTTGGTCAGGATGAGATTATGGGATCCCTTTTTCTCTGCCTCAGTAATTGTTGCTCTGACCCCACCCAGCATCATCCATCACGGTAAAATTGTAACAAGTGTGGCTGTGCTCTTCCCAGGGCTGTTAAACCTCATTATTCACTGGAAGGGCATTAGGAATGAAAGCACCTACAACATCTTATGCCAGAAAGAAAGGGTGTGCTCAAAGAACTGAGACACTTCAAAGTATTGGGAGCAGCTTGAAGGGTTTCTGGCTAAACAAAAGGGGGGACTATTGAGAGGAGGGGCCAGCAAGGTGTCTGCAAGTGGGGGGATTAGTCAGGATTCTCTAAAGGAACAGAACTGATATAATGGCACACACACATGCAACTTATTAGAGTGGCTGACAAGCTGTGGTCTGGGTAGTCCAACAATGGTTGTCTCCAGATGGAAAGACCAAAAATCCAGTAGTTCGGTCCAGTCCATAAGACGGGAAAGAGTGAGGGCAGCCAGGCAAAAGGTAAAGGCTTCCTTTTCCATGTCCTTTTATATAGGGTGCCACCAGAAGGAGTGGACCAGATTTTAATGTAAAAGATACTCAAATTAGTGTTGTCTTGGTCAGAAACTGGACACAATTCAAATGCCAATGAGCATATGAGTGTATCCTTACAGAAGAAATGTACATAGGCATAAGAAGGAAGTTGTAGGCTGCCCATGTGTACAGGCCTGCTTCAACCCCCTGAATAGAAACAAAGAGCGACTACTGATAAATGCAGCAAAGTTGATGAGTTTCTGACAGATTGCACTGAGCAGCAGCAGCCAGGCACAGGGTTTGTACTGTTTCTGTGAAACCCTAGGGCAGCTGAAACTCAGACTGGTGACAGGTTATCTACAGGGCAGGTGGGATCTGGTCTGTGCTGGAATGCTGAGTTCTAGTACCTTGAATCTTGAAAAGCAGTTGAGATGTGAAAAAATGATAAATAGACTGTAAGGAAATAATAAAAAGCTTTAAGGAAGAAAGAGGGCAGTGCTGGATGCTGCAAACTGGTCAGTGCCAGCTGCCTGGCAAGTGTGCTTTCAGGTACTGGATCACAGAGGTCTCTCCTGAGAACCAGTTCTGTCCAGCGGTGCATTCCAGCCAAGGAAGTCACAAGTGCCCACACAGTGGCACAGTGACAATCCCAGTCAGGAATCTGATGGTGGAACTAGGGAGTCCAGAAGTGTGGTAATGGACAACAGACACTGTCGGGACACCCTCTGGTCATCTAATTAAAATAGCCAAAGGACAGATAAAAGTCATGTGCTGTCTACCTCCCAGGTACCCTGGAGGAGCAGTTTCTCTGCGACCAGTTGAAAATGTAGTCTGCATCCCTTAAATAGTGTGGGCAGACATGAGTGGAATTAATGGACTCCCAGGGCTGATGGGGGTGTAGCTGTGAAGGCATGGAGAAGGCAGGGGGTGTGTAAAGACTGTCAGAAGAGTGGTGTATGGTTCGAAAGGATTTTGCCAGGATGCTTCTGGCCCACAGTGTGTATTTTAGTCTATTATTTTTATTGTGGTCTTTGTAGGGAAAAAATGTGTTGAACTAGAAAAAAAACGGCTCTCTCAGCCTAAGCCAAAGCTTAAAAAGAAGAAAAAACCTACCCTGCGACTACCTGGAAAGCAAGATTCATCCATTGTCACTGAAGATGAGAGTTCAAGGGAGACCTCAGGACCTGTTGAGAATGGTGTGTCGGACCAGGATGGTGAGGAGGAAACCCAGGAGCCAGAGCTGCCACCATCTCCAGTGGGTAGGTATTTCTAAAACACCCATCTCACTGGTGTATTGGTGTGGCAGGTCTTCCTCTGTGTGCAGCTTCTGCGTCAACTGAGACTTTGCAAACATGGTAGTGTTGTTTAAAGGGGTTTCGTTCAGTTTTTAATATTGATCTTCGTTTCATGTGTATGACTATTTTGCCTGAAACTATGCCTGTGTACCACAAGAGTGCCCATGGAGGCCAGAAGAGAGCATTGGACCCCCTAAAACTGGAATTATGGGTGTGGGGAACTGAACCCAGGTCCTCTGCAAGAACAACCAGTGCTCTTAACCTCTGAGCCCCCTCTCCATATCTTTAAAAGGTTAAGTCGAAATACCACCTTATTGTTGTTGTTGTTATTGTTGTTTTTATTGAGCTATTAAATGCCACTTTGAAGTGTTACAAGAGCTATAGTACATGACTGGGGAGGAGTCAATAGTACACAGAAGCTTCAGCTGTTCAGGGTAAGACACAGGGCACAGTGAGACAGGGCAGTGTGCATAGGCATGAGTGGAGAGGAGGGCACATCTGTGTCCCTTTAACAACTGACCTTTAAAACGTTCCAACTTATATGGGAAAGGTAAGTTTCCCCTGCGCCGGATGATATCTTAATCATTGTTGTGTTGCTGTAAAGAGACACCACGACCAAGGCAAGTCTTATTTAAAACAAGACAAAACATTTCATTGGGGCTGAGTGACTCAAGTGTTTGCTGCACAGTCCTGGGTTTGATTCTGGAACCCATGGAAAGATGGAAGGGAGACCTGACTCCAAAGAATTATCCTGACCTCCACATTCACCACAGAGCACATACAGTGATAATGATTTTAATTCCTTTGTATCATATAAGGGCTACACAAAGTGTCCTGTGCTTCTGTTGGTTAGAAAACAGTTTGTGTGCTTAGGATTGTGACTGTCACATGTACCTGCTGTGTTCTGTGATTGAAGCTTTTTCCTGTTTGTACAGTGAAGCTTCAGTTCCCTAACAAGTGACTCACCAGTAAGCAGGGTTTCCAGGTCAAATGTCAGAGTTCTGAATAATAACCTTAGAGACTCCCGTGCAGCAGGTGAGGCCTGAGCACCTGCACTGCTTGTCCAGGGCACAGTGGCTGGAATTGCATTGCTGAGCCTGGGAATGCTGGTTTTTGGTTTTTGTTTTGCTTTTTTGTTTTGTTTTTCCTTCAAGACAGGAAGTGTGTAATAACCCTATCTGTCCTAAAACTAGACCAGGGTGGCCTTGAACTCACAGAGAACCACCTTTCTCTGCCTCCTAAGGGCTAGAATTAAAGGTATGGCCACCACAGCCCAACTCACCTGTTAAAATGCTCTTATAGCAACAACTAGACTCGGACAGTGTGTTTTGAAACAGGGTCTCACTCTGTAACCACAGTTGATTGTCCTGGGACTCACAGTGTAGCCTAGGCTGGCCTCAACCTATAGTGATCCTGCATCAGTGTCCAGAATGCTGAGGTTACAGGCGTGGGTTCCCTTGCCCTCCGCCTTTCTATATTGTTCTCGTCTCAAACCTTTTCTGTTCTTTTTCCCTTGTAGTTTCTGGTGAAGCTGTTTCCTGCATTGCTGTTTCCTTAGGTGTTGAAAAGTCAAAAGTCACAGTTAATAGCAAAGCCACCTTACTGAAAAAGGAGCCACCCAAAGAGAAGCCAGGTCAGTATTTTTTACCTGACATTCCTAAGACCTTCTGTGCCCACGAGAGAGCCTTTTGTGTAAGCCTGGGATGTTTGGATTGTGCTGTTGGAGATCATTTTATTTCTTGTTTTTTTTTTTTTTTCACATTGCTTAGCACTTGAAATGTCTTACAGTTGGTGGTACCACTTGTGAATGTTAGCAAGATCGTTTTGCATGTTTTTTGACTATGCACCAGCCAGCAAGGTATAAAAGCTGCTGTCTGGGAGTGGCTTGTTCCGTGCCACCTTCCTGTAGGCCACACCCATACTGCCCACATTTGCGTTCCTTCAGCTCTGTCTGTGGTCTGTTTTTCTGAAATTATTGCTGTTGTTTCATTTCAGAAGCCTTACTCAAGAAAAGGAAGACTCGCTCCATGCTCCCCCTGAGCACAAGCTTAGACCACAGGTCCAAAGAGGAACTCCATCGAGACTGTTTGGTACTAGCAACTGCAACACATGCCAAAGGTACCAAGCGCTGCTCCTTGCACCTGTGTGCTTACAGTTGATGGTGGTACTGTGTGTTAAGTAAATGAGCAGGTGTCTAAGATTATTACTTCCTGGACTTTTTCCCCAGCTTCCCTTGTCTTTGACCTCCCTGCCCCCCTGCCATGCCCCTATCTTGCGGCCACTGCTCCCAGTATCCCATCTGTCACTGTTACCCAGCCAACCATCTTTGACATTTGGCCAAGCACCTACACATCTATTTTCCAGTCTACCAGTGTCTTTAGGTAAAAAAAAAAATCCTCATTAGAGATGCTCCGTAATGTGGCAGTTACTTTAACATATTTGATGGTGTTTTATTTTTTAAATGGTTATTGGTTTTGTTTGCTTGTCATAGTCCAGTATTTGGGTGTTTTTATTATGAATTTGATGTGTTGAAAAAAATAACACAGTTTTTAAAAATCTTAAAGAGAGTGAGTCCCCCTGCTCATTCCACCACTGTTTTCTCTTGTGCTTTTTGTGGGTATGACTTGTTTTGGGAATTTTGAGATGATCTAGAGTCTCCTTGGCTAACAGCTAAACTTACTGGAAAGTAAGGACTTTTTACATTCTCAGGTGGGGTCCCAGGGCCTTGCACATGCTAGGCAAGTCCTTTATCATTAAGACGTGCATAAACATAATTGACTGTTTTGGTTTTGGTTGGTTGGTTGGTTGGTTGGTTGGTTGGTTGGTTTCTCAAGACAGGGTTTCTCAGTTGGGCGGTGGTGGCGCACGCCTTTAATCCCAGCATTCGGGAGGCAGAGGCAGGTGGATCTCCGTGATTTTGAGGCCAGCCTGGTCTACAAGAGCTAGTTCCAGGACAGGCTCCAAAGCTACAGAGACAGGGTTTTTCTGTGTAACAGTCCTGGCTGTTCTGGAACTTTCTTTGTAGACCAGACTGACCTCAAACTTACAGAGCTCCTACTGCCTCCTGAGTGCTGGGATAAAGGTGCACACCTGCGTGCTTGGCTCCTAGAGGACTCTTAATACATTCTGGTTAATCTTCTAACAGAAATTTAAAAGGCATGTTGAATTTGGAATCCTCTTTTTTTTTTTTTTTTTTTTTGGTTTTTCGAGACAGGGTTTCTCTGTGGCTTTGGAGCCTGTCCTGGCACTAGCTCTGTAGACCAGGCTGGTCTCGAACTCACAGAGATCCACCTGCCTCTGCCTCCCGAGTGCTGGGATTAAAGGCGTGCGCCACCATCGCCCGGCTGGAATCCTCTTATACTGTTTTTCCCTCAAGCTTTTGTCAGCACAAACTATAAAATGGTATTGACTCATTGGATTCTTCCCAAGCTGACTTTTAAAAGCTCCAAACTGTCTCTGTCACTAGCAGGAGGTACAGGGTAGAGTAAACGAGGACCTGGAATGTGGATTTTTGTCTCTGAAGTAGGTGTTGGGGCATGTGTCCAGAAGTTACTGGACGAAACCTGTGGCTGTTACTTTTTCCATTTTAAATTAGCAGAGCTAAATGAAGATCTGTCTGCTGACCTTGAAGAACGATTCCACTTGGGCCTCTTCACAGACAGGGCTACTCTGTACAGGATGATGGAAACAGAAGGTGAGGCCTGCTCAGTCTACGTGGCCCTATCTCTCCTTACTCTCCCTAATTTTGACACATGCCTCTATGTGGCTGCCAGCCTGTGCATTGCCATGCCATGCAGTTTAATCTGTGTACAAACATGTTGCCATCTAAGCTACTCCCTTATGTACTTTATGTGGTCATCAGACTCCAAACGATAGCCTCTAACTGGTGCAGTGCTCTTGAGGACTACTGGTGACAGTGGTCAGCTGGGCTCCAGCCCCATTCATATATGCTGGGTTCAGATATATATATGTCCATGGTTCAGATCTATAATCCTAGCACTCTGGAGGCTAAAGCAGGAGTATCACAAGATTGAGGCCATCCTGTATGTCCATCTTGTAAGTTCTAGGGCAGCCTGAGCTATGAGGAGACTTTGTCTTTAAATAAATAAATAAAATAAAAAGCTAGGGAGCAGAGGGATGGCTCAGCAGGTAAAAGTGCAATCATCAGAACATGTATAGCTTGCACTCATCCTAACACTCTACAAAATGGGAAACAGAAGAGGATGAGCTGGAGCATAGTGCAGAAACAGAACCCCTATCTCCAAAGCAAAGTGAAAGGGAAAATTTAAAATTGGTCCTGGAGAAATGGCTCAGCAACTAAAACACTGACTGCTTTTGGAGGACTCGGGTTCAGTTCCCAACACTCACATGGCAGCTCGCATCTTTCATTAATTCCAGTTCCAGAGCTTCTGACACTCTCACACAGACATACATGCACACAAAACACCGATGAACATAAAATAATTTTTTTTAATTAAAAAAAATCCCTCAAAGTCATTTTAGTAGATGGCTTGCTGATCGGTAAGTGACTATATACTTCTTTTCCACTGTGACCTTTGTTTTATAAAACAGCTTTCAAACTCTGTCTCCTCTACACAGGAAAAGGCCACCTGGAGAGTGGCCACCCTGAGCTTTTTCACCAGCTCATGCTCTGGAAAGGCGATCTGAAAGGTGTCCTCCAGGCAGCAGCAGAGAGAGGAGAGCTTACAGACAGCCTCGTGGCTGTGGCACCAGTAGGTATGTGCTTCTTGGGGAAGTGTGTTGCTTTCTAGAATATGCCATTAAAGATGCCTCAACACTGGTATGGTGATGCACAGCCAGCACCCGGGAGGCCGGGGCAGAGGAATCACCAATTCAGGGTCAAAAAGAAAAAAAATGACTTGGCAGTGCTTGCCTTAAGCTTAAAGCACTTAGAAATAGATGATGTACAGAAGCTAACTCTGCAGCAGTGGCAAAGGCTGGGGACACATCCCCCACTGGGTTTTGTCAAGACAGAGGAGCGGTAGCCCTGTGCTCTGTAAAGTGGGAGATTCATTTTGCTCACAGTTCTGGAGGTTTGGGAACCAAAGCCAGCATTGCTCAGTGGTGGGTAGCAAAGGTACCACAGAGGTCAGAATAAAGATAAGACAGGGACAGGGCAGGCTGGTTTTGTGGGCAAGGCAGATTGAGCCAAGCCTTGCTCTGTATCTAACAACTCATGGGGATTAGTCAGCTCCACAGATCAGCAGTGGACAATCTTCCCAGGAATGCTGTCCTATGTGTTAATTAGTATCCACCAGTCCCCAGCTCTGGTGATGCCTCTAGCACATAAATCAGTGGTGGGCATACCACATCTTGAAGGACAATTGGACCATATGTGATAAATTTGAAAATGTTTCAAACCTTTGGCCCAGCAGTTCTGATGATAGAAACTAAACAGTACTCACTCTCAGAGACATAGCAAAAGACCATAAAGACCTACATGGCCATAAGTAAGAGCCCTGTCAAGTCATGTACACAGCTAGAATAGAAACCCTTACAAATACCCAAAGACTGGGGCAGCCTTGTACGTCCTTAATGTGAGTGAGCTCTTAATGCAGGCAGCTAACATGAGCCTGGGAGCGCTGATCCATGCTGTAGTTTGAGATTAGGAAATGAAGAATTATGGCCCAGCTTAAGGAAGTACAAGAAAGTCCCCTAATGCCCTTAAAAGACCACCATTCGTCCGCCCCCCCCCCCCCAAACACGATCATCTCTATTGGAGATGTAGTAGAAACTGCTGGGTGCCAACTGAACATGGTGTTGTATACTAACCCCAGCTTCAGGGGGCAGAGGCAGGTGGGTCTCTGAATGCCAGGTCAGCCAGGGCTACGCAGTGAGACCCTGTCTCGAAAGAACAGCTGCTGAGAGTGACAGTGAAAAAGCAACCGTTTATCACCAAAGTGCAATGATGAAGTACACAAAGGAACTTTGATGACACCAGCCTTGCCCAGAAAGAGGTGGAGGAGGACGGTGAATTAAAAAAAAAAAAAAAATCTGTCTGAGAAATGAATACCTTCGAATGGGGCATCATGATTGACACATCTCTATGGCTGTGAGGTGGAGCCATTGATGTTGTGGTGAACTTGTACGTGGGCCACATAAATCAGAATGTGTGCTGGGTCTCAGCACCCCAGCCAGAAGCTCTCTTTAGACAGTACCCTCAGCAGAAGGCATGCATGGCCTTGCTGTCACTGTCTGCTCCCACTCAGAAGTGTCCCCTGAACGTCTTTTCGTGTTTATAGAGCAAGTCAAAGAATAATTCCTGTTTCAGAATATGGGTGTGGGGAGGGAGTTGAAGCAGAAGGGCTGCATAGCATTTGAAGTAGTGCCTGATGGTTCTGCCTACTGGATTGATGAAATGGCATTTTTGACTCGTGTACCTCCTTTGATGGACCTTCTTCCTTTTTTCCCACCTTTAAGCTGGCTACAGTGTGTGGCTGTGGGCCGTGGAAGCCTTTGCCAAGCAGCTGTGTTTCCAGGATCAGTATGTCAAGGCTGCCTCTTACCTGCTGTCCATCCACAAAGTGTATGAAGCTGTGGAACTTCTCAAGTCAAATCATTTCTACAGGTCTGTGCGGTGGGGGTTTGGTGGCTCATAAAGGGAGCTCCTCTAAAGATTTTCTTTATGTGTATGTGTGTGTGCACATGATCTCACGGGGGCCAGGGACAGTGGATCCCCCTGGAACTGAACTTACAGGAGGTTCTGAGCTACCCAGCATGCTGAGACCCAAAGTTGGATCTACAGGAAAGCAGTGAGTGTTCCTAACTGATAAGAAATTTCTTACCACTGCCCCTCCCCCCCTTTTAAGAAAAATCTAATGTTCTAGTCTTAGGGTTCCTACTGCTGTGATAAACACCATTGCCAAAAGCAACTTGGGGAAGAAAGGGTTTACTTCAGCTTACAACTGTAGTCCCAACTGCTAAGGGAAGTCAGGGCCAGAACTCAAGGCAGAACCAGGAGGTAGGAACTGAAGCATAAGCCACGTGCCTCTTGGCTTCCTCAGTTTGTTTAGTTTTTTGGTTTTTTTGAGACAGGGTTTCTCTGTATAACAGCCCTACCTCTCCTGAGACTAGCTCTGAAGACCAGGCTGGCCTCGAACTCACAGAGGTCCGCCTGTCTCTGCCTCCCAAATTCTGGAATTAAAGGCGTGCGCTGCCACCACCCGGCTTCAGTTTGTTTTCTTATATAGCAGGACCAGCTGTTCAGGGGTGGTACCATATGTGATAGACTGGGCTCTCCCCTGTCAATCATTGATCAACCTTATCTTCAGGCCAGTCTTATGGAGGCTTTTTCTCAGTTTAAGACTCTCTCTTCCCAGATTATCTAAGTTTGTGTCAGGTTGATAAAAGCCAGCCAACACAGTTCTCGGTTTAGATGAAAGGCCTGTCTACTGTTCTGTGTTGAGGGTGACTAGTGTCTCTTTTTCAGTGTAGCACTATGTCAGCCACAGTGGAGAATGACCATTCTAGACAGCATTCTTGGCTCTCTCCGTCGTTTCGCCATGGCTGCCATCAAGTGGGGATGTTTAAATTGGTGATATTTAATATTAATTTGCTATGGTTGGCATGTATCTGCACACCTTGGTGTTTGTTTCCTGTTTTGTCGAGTTTATCTCTTTTTCTGTTTTATTTTAGATTGACTATTTTTTGTCAGGTTCCAGTTCTAACTTTAGTTACATCCTCTTAAATTTATTTCTTTTAATGTGTGTAGATGTTTTGCTCATATTCTTTCTTTTTGTTTGGTTGTTTGTTTTTCGAGACAGGGTTTCTCTGTGTAGCTTTGGAGGCTGTCCTGGAACTAGCTCTTGTAGACCAGGCTGACCTCAAACTCACAGAGATCCGCCTGCTTCTGTCTCCCAAGTGCTGGGATTAAAGGCATGAGCCACCACCGCCCCGCTTGTTCACATTCTTGTCTGTGCACCAGGTGTCTGCCTTGTGTTTGAAGAGGCCAGAAGAGGGCATTGTGTCCCCTGGAGCTGGTGTTACAGGTGTGTGGATGCTGGGAATTGAACCCAGATCCTCTGGAAAAACAGCCAGTGCTCTTAATCACTGAACCATCTCTTTAGCCATTGATTCCCCCTGACTTCCCCCCTTTTTTTGAGTAGTATGTTCTACTTGTGGTAATTCCCAAAACTTCTTTTGTGTATGAAAGCCTACAGTTTCACCTTCATCTTAAGAGATCTTTTCCTAGTTTAGAGTCCTAGATTGCTTCCAGATGTGGTGGTGTACACCTGTAATTCTAGCATCTTGAGGAATAGGAACCTAAAAGGATCCTATACTGCAAATTTTCTTTCTACTGTTTTTGACTTAGATACTTTTGTATGTAACCCAGGCTGGCCTTAAAACTCCTGCCTTAGTTTTCCAGGTGCTTAAATTACAGGTGTGCACTCCATGCCGGCTGTATTTTCATCTGTTCTGCAGAACAGTGGAGTTTTCTCTGTTCAAGCCTTTCATTATCACTGATTTTCAGTAATGTGATGATGTATTATGGTGAAGTTGTCCTTTTGTTTATCTTGTGTGGCTTTTGTTGTCCTCCTTTAGAGAATGCTAAGTTTCATTGTGACTCACCTTGATCTTTTTGGAAACAGGGAACAAAATGGTGCTAGCCTCAAAATCTGTGGCCATGTTGTCTGCTTCTAGAGTGCTTGCACGCCTTCCCCTTATTTCAGAGGCAGATTTAGAGAAGTCTATACTATGAACTGGTATGGGCCTCCTACCTTCTGATGCTTCTGTTGCAGGCTTTGCTTAGTGAACAAGTCACAGCAAGCTCTGAGCATCATTCAGCTCCAGTCACCCTACTTGTTCTTTGTTTGGCCTCTCAGAGTTTCCAGCTTGGCCAGAGACCCAACAGGATCCACAAGCAGAGCAGAGCTCTGGCCACCTCTTTGTGTGAACAGCTTCCTCCTCCTCTGGTTTAAAGGACTATGCCTGGAAGTCAATCCCCAGGTTATTCATATCTCTCTTTCTCTTTCGGGATACAGTTTCCTTGTGCAGCTCTGGCTGTTCTGGAACTTGTTTCTCAGACAAGACTGGCCTCAAACTCGAGGTCTGCCTGCCTCTGCCACCCGTTTTGCATTGCTCTTTAGATCATTTCTGTCCCTGCTACAGCTTTACAGAGTGCCTCAGTGGGCAGCTCAAGCTGAATTGCACTTGGAAGATGTTTGCCAGGTGACACAGACCCACCACATACCGAGATGATTTGTGAGGAGCCCCACAAGTGTCACACTCTTTAGTCTTGGGTCACTTTCACTGGAAAAGTTTTCAACTTTGGGATGCTCTGAGTCCCGAGTGTCAGGTCCACTTTTCTCCAGGAAAGTATAAACTTTATCATTGGAAACATAAAATGACATGCTTTACTTGGTTCACTTTTGAGAAAACAGCTGTAAAATACTCAAAGCTAAGTTAGTTTTGTTTTTTGAGACAGAGTCTCACTTTAGCTCCAGCTCTTCTAGAACTCCCTATGTAGGCCAGGCTGGCCTCAAATTCCCAGAGATCTGGCTGCTGCTTCCTTCTGTGTGCTGGCACTAAAGATGAGCTCCACTGAGCCTGCCAGTGCTTTTTAATAAGTGAGAGTTTTCTTGAAGAAAGCAGCTAGCTAGGGATAGAGAAATGACTCAGTGGGCAGTGTGTACGAGTGTTTGCCCTGCAACAGGAGATCCATGTTTACATCCCAGGACCCAGCGAAAAGCATGGCTGCCTATGCCTGTGACTCCAGCATCAGCAGGTGGGACTAGGAGGATTCCCAGGAGCTCACTGACCAACCTAACCTATCTTAAGAGAAATGTGATAGCTCAGCAGTTAAAGCCTCTTGCTGCCCAGCCCATGGACCGAGGTTTGATTCCCAGAACCCATGCAGAAGGTCTTACAGAACTAACTCCTGCAGGTTTCCTGACCTCCACACTCATGCCCTGTACCTGCACAGCCACAGCAATCTAAAGGAAGGGGAAAAGTGAAAGAAGACGTGTGTACGTGGGCACAGGTGCAGACACATGCACCACACACATTTACACACACACACACACACATTCACATACACACATATACTCAAATGCTAGAAGTAAAAGGCAGCTAGTCAGTTTGTAGTGTACTCTTACAAATTTCCCCAGAGATGACTGGCATGATTCGGAATGATGTCAGGAAGAAAGCGTTCTTGCCATTTTGTCATGGTGAAGGTCTAAAATGCAGATGGGAGGAACTAGTGAAATTAATCAGTTGGCTGCCTCTCCAGGCACTCACTGTTTTTCATTGGTAGCCTCATGTGGAGGAACCCTTGCTGACTGACTGAATTATGTGCTTTTGCTGTTAGAGAAGCTATCGCAGTTGCCAAGGCTCGACTGCGCCCTGAAGACCCCGTCCTGAAGGACCTGTACCTCAGCTGGGGGTCTATCCTGGAGAAAGATGGCCACTACGCAATCGCAGCCAAGTGGTAAGCAGAGAGGCTGAGGCTAATTTAGTACCTGCCTTGAGCACAACAGAATGGACAAACTCAGTGTAGAAGTGGGCACCGTGACTGGAAATGTACAAAGAAAGGAAAATTCAACCCAGCTGCATGTTCCACAGTCACCCGAATTCGCACAGGCAGGCAGGCAGACTTGAAGGTTATGCCTGTTTGCATTGATGAGATAAGCAGAGTTTGGGGGTGAGTCCTCTGGGTCAGTCAGCACAGTGTACAGACCAACAGCATGTGGCCATCCTACCTCGGTCTCCAAAGATGCAGCCAGAGCAGGGCCACCAGGATGGACAAAAGAGGGTTAGAAGGGCGGCATGGCTGGTAACTGGGTTTCATTCTTGCCACAGCTACTTAGGAGCCACTTCCGCCTACGATGCAGCCAAAGTTCTGGCGAGAAAGGGAGACGCAGCCTCACTCAGAACAGCTGCAGAGCTGGCTTCCATAGCAGGAGAAAGTGAACTGGCTGCTTCCCTGGCTCTCAGATGTGCCCAAGAGCTGCTTCTGGTGAAGAACTGGGTGGGCGCGCAGGAAGCCTTGGGGCTGCATGAAAGCTTGCAGGTCAGTCTCTGGAGCCTGAGGATGGGAGGGGCCCTGGGTCCCTCTCTGGTCAGACACCCCCAATAGACAAACTTCCGGTTCAGGAAGTGACTCTAGAAGTTTCCAGAGGCTGTGATGGCTCTCCTCTCACTGAAATACTACAGCTTGCTGATGACTGTGTTGGGGATAAGAGATGCACCGCTGTTCACAGTGATCTCTACTGCTTACAAGTGTGTGCAAACCCTCTGAACCACTGCCAGTATGCCAGCACCTGGGCAGTGTCCAGAGTTCCTACATTTGCACTGTCTCCCTGGGGTCGGGGGGAGTGGTTGACCTCTGACAGGAAGATCATGGTGGGTAACAGGCATGTCTGGTTTCTGGAAAGCTTTGTTCCCATGTGGCTAGAAATGACCCAAGGGCTAAATAAATGTAGCCTAGTGGCAGCTCGTTTCCCTGGCAGGTTCCCAGGTTCCATTCTCAGCACTTCAAGTAATAGCAGCAGTGTTAATGAATAACAGACCCTAGGAGCTGTGCATGCACACAGCAGATTTCACCGACATGTTCATGTTCGCATACTACATGCTTTGGCCATACTCAGACCCCACTGCCACCACTGTTTTTCTAACACATGAGAACTGAGGTCTAGCCTGTAGTCCAGGTTTACCATAAATACAGCCCAGGATGGCCTCAAACTCAAAATTATACTATCTCAGTCTCCCTGAGTTGGCATTCCAGGTGTGAGCCACCTTGCCAGTTCTGACATGGACTGTTCACTTTCTCTATCACAGGAATAAGGCTTAAAAACAATGCCCAGCTGAGTGTTTAGAGCCCAGGGAAGACACATAGGTTAGCTTTCTCAGAGCTGGAAGATAAAGCCACCAAGTATATTCATTATAACATTACCAAGTCTAGGCAGAGCCACTTACCTACAGCTCAGAAAAGGCTTTCCCAATAGTTCTGTAGCGTTTCATTCTCTATCTGAAGCAGCGTCCTCAGCAAAGAAAAAATCAAAATAGCCCTGTGGCTTTTTGGTCCACACTCTGGTAAGGGTCATTCTGACTGGTGTACAGCTGCCCTCTAGGCTTAATTGAGGACTTCTCAGGGTGCACCAGGCATCTTGTGGCAATGAGAAATCTAACAAATAATAATTTTCCAGAGCTTTTCTCAGTATTTTTGTTGTTAGTGGATTCCCTACTTAGATGTGGCCTGAGCCTTCCCAGCTCCTGAGTCTACCAAGCTCACCTATTCCAACATCACTGCACTGTCGGCGAGAGGGTGCCTGATGCTTAGGGCTAAAGGGTGGACCTAGGTGTGGCTCCCAGATAGGATCCTCTGTTACAAACTTTCCTGGACTACAAAAGACCTGCAGAGCCCTTGCCTGTCCCCTGTCACGTGGCTCCAGTGAAGCTTGGGTGCTGTGGGTTCAGATGGGTGTGCCGTCATCCATGTTTTCATGTATCATACCTCTTTGTTGCTGAATCCCAGGGCCAGAGACTGGTCTTCTGCCTCCTTGAGCTTCTTTGCCGGCACTTGGAGGAAAAGCAGCCTCCAGAGGTCAGAAGCCCCTCCTCCGTTTATCACCAGTGGGCTACAGGCTCTGAAGGAAACCTGGTGCAGAGAGTGACTGGTGTGTGGCGCAACACCTTCAGTGTGGACACCCCAGAGCAGTGTCGGGCTGCCTTGAAGAAGCTGCAGGATGTCAAGTATCCGTCTGCCACAAGTAACACTCCCTTCAGACAGGTGTGCCATCCCAGCCTTAACAAGCTGTGTAGGTCAGGTGTTCTTCATCCCTCAGAAAAATCTATAAAAACAGTTTTTAATCTCGAAAAAGACAACACAGTTCAGGCCTTGGGAAGACACCTCAGGTGAAAGCCTTGAGCTTTGTATTCATCTGGGGTTCTCACTTGTTTAATTTTACAAGAAGTTCGGGGTGGGAGTGCTAGCTCGGTAGTTAAGACCACTGGCGGCTCTTGCAGAGGGTTCAGGTTGGGTTATCAGCACCCGCTCACAGCTGACAGCCATTTGTAATTCCAGTTCCAGGGGACCCAACACCCTCTTCTGGCCGTCGTGGGCACCGGGCATACATATCATGCACAGACATACATGTTGGCAAAATACTACATACAATAAAGTCGAAGTCCTCTTGCTCTCCTCAGCTGCTGTTTCACACGCACGCGCACACACACACACACACACACACACACACACACACGCACGCACACTCACCCCAGCTCACCAGAGATTCTCTCCCTTCACGTTACCCATGCTGACAATGAGGGGCAAGCTGACGACATACTTAACTACACGTTCATCTTGGGAACAGACCTCAGTTTGTCTGCTTTTTTAAGTTTTAAATGAAAAGATATTATCCTTTTGAGTAAGTAGACATCCTCAAGTGGTATACAAAATGGAAAGCGGCTTTGCAGTCTCTTACGACGATAGCATACTCTTGCCCAGCCAGCCAAGTGACGAGAGATGAAATCAGGAGGCCACTCAAAGACCTGCATACAAATCTTTGGGTATATTTAGTCCACAACAGCTCCAAACAAATGGACACAAGGGAAAAATAGACCTCTGCACAGGTCACTGAGCCCCAGAAACATGCTGACAGAAGGGTGTTGTCAGATGGTCTTGTTTGACAAATGTGTTCTGTGCCTTCATTTTGGTGGTAGCTATAAACTACTTGTCAGAGTGCTTCAAACTATATAACCTAAGGGCTGGAGAGATGATTCAGTCAAGCAGATAAATTCCTTTTGAGTGAGGCCCCCCGTGTTTAATCCCTAACATGGCAGCTTACACCTATGTTCCCAGGATTAGGGAGGCAGAAGCAGGTAGACCCAAGGACTCTCTGTCAAGATGATCTAGCCAAATTGCTGAGCTTCAGGTTCTGTGAGAGACCCTGTCTCAAAAAGATAAAATGGAGCCAGGTGGTGATAACACAAATCTTTAATCCCAGCACTCGAGAGCCAGAGGCCAGCCTAATCTATAGAGCAAGTTCCAGGACAGTAAGGGCTACATAGTGAAATTCTGTCTCAAAAAGGGAAAAAATAAATAAATAAAATAAATAAAATGGAGAGTGTTTGGGAAAGACAACTGACATTGTTCTCTGACATCCACGTGCCAAAATGGATTGCTATCAGCTGTATTCCTGTTATTTCTGTTGATTTTTTTTTTTTTTGAGAGGGAGTCTCATATAGCCCAGGCTGTCTCTGAACTTTTTTTTAAGAGTTAATATATTTATTATGCATATAGTGTTCTGCCTTCATGTTTGCCTGCAGGCCAGAAGAAGGCACCAGATCTCACTATAGATGGTTGTGAGCCACCATGTGGTTGCTGGGAATTGAACTCAGAACCTCTAGAAGAGCAGTCAGTGCTCTTAACCTCTGAGCTATCTCTCCAACCCCGGGGCCTGAAATTCTTATGTAGCTAAGGATGACTCAAGTCCTGGTCCTCCTGCCTCCACCTTCCCTGTGCTAAGATTGCAATTGTGTGTCACCACACTGAGTCTATGTGATGCTGAGGTTAAACCCAGGGCCTTGTGTGTGCTAAGCAGGTACTCGACCAATCAAACATAGCCCCCATTTTGTTTTTCTAATTATAGCTTTGTAGATACAGAAAGTTAACTTTCTTTGATTTTGTTTGCAGTCTAAAGATAGGATGTTGAATAATTCAATCTTTTGATCTCATGATTCTCCTGCCTCAGCTCCCTGGGCATGCCAGCTTCCTTTGCCATTCATTCAGTGCAGTGATCAGAATGACTTAAATACCAGACAGGGTGACGGGCGGGAGGTAAAGGGTTTCCAGAGTTGTTGTTCTGTGCGATGGTTTCCAGTGTAGTGCCTAGCTGTGGCACCAGGCTTGCCAAGTCTCTGCCACAGGAGAGTGTTAGCAGGTGAGTGAGATTCTGGCCTCTTTTCAGCTGCTGCTTCATGTTTGCCATGACCTGACCCTGGCAATACTGAGCCAACAGACTGCCTCCTGGGAGGAGGCTGTACCAGCATTGCTGCAGGCTGTTCTTCGGAGCTACACCTCAGGGAACTTCACCCTCATGCAGGAAATCTACTCAGCCTTTCTCCCAAGTGGTAAGTGACCCTCCCCTCCCCCCCCATACACACTCTCACACACACACACACATCTCCGCCTGGGGTCCTCCCAGTATAACACAATATAACCACCTCAAATGGTACTGTGCTGGGAATAGCAACACCATTAAAAGATGATATGGCTGTGGCAAGAGAATCACCACAGATTCTAAGCTGCATAGTTTACAAAGTGAGACAAACCAGCGTCTGCACGGTGCCTTTACCTTGCTCTGCTCTCTCCCTTAAAGCTCAGAGAGGTAAAGAAATAGGAGTTGGCATGGGTTGCCTGCACCCTGTCCTCCCTACATGGGGAAAGAGTGGGGTGGTCAGAGAGATCGGCAGTTCAGGGTGCTATGTAGTGAATTTAAGGCCAGCCTGGGCTACATGAGACCTCGTCAAACCACTGGAAAAACAAAAAGGCCAAGAAATGTGACTTTCCAGCTGGGCGGTGGTGGCGCACGCCTGTAATCCCAGCAGTCTGGAGGCAGAGGCAGGCGGATCTCTGTGAGCTGAAGCCCAGCCTGGTCTACAGAGCGAGTTTCAGGACAGCCAAGGCTACACAGAAGCACTGTCTTGGAAAACCCCCAAAAACGTAAATGTGCGTTTCCAAGCTGGAAAGATCAGGAAAGCTAGGACTTAACTGGGATCAGTCCCTACAATTCATCTCAGTTTTCAGAACCTGGATGTATATAGTTCATGTCCCTAACCCCATATTAGTGTGGCCCTGGAGCTCTTAATGAAACAGTACTTTTCTGTCATGTGAGTGGTGTCACCTGTGGCAGCGATTGCATTGTCCCAAGGAAGGCAAAGGAAATGATTAGTTCCATTGGCTTTGGGCAGAGGATAGAATACCAAGAGTTGGGTCTGTCTTCTTGGGTGATAGAACACAAGGGTGAGAAACCAGGTTTCTCACGAATAAAGAAATGTATGATATATCCCAAGATCCTTTTCTTTTAGGCTGTGACTACCTACGAGACAAATTGGGTGACCTATCTCTTGCCACTGCAGCTTTCAAAAGCTTAGAGGCCTTTTTTATTTATGGGCAACTGTATGAAGTCTGGTGGTCGCTCTGTGGGCCTGGCCCTGAGTCCAGCATCTGGGTGAAAAGCACAGTACCTGCGGAGCAGAGGGCGCCAGAGGACAGTGCCAGTGCCGAAGACACGGAGCCTGAGGCTGCTGCTGCTCAGCCACGGTCAAGCCTGCCTTCAGGCCCAGGTCTCAGGCTCAGTGGAGAGAGTGAGCGTTTACTTAGTGCCTGCAAAGAGCTGTTCTCAGAAAGGCACGCCAGCCTCCAGGCCTCCCAGAGGACTGTTGCTGAAGTCCAGGAGACACTGGCAGAAATGATCCACCAGCACCAGAAGAGTCAGCTCTGCAAGGCCACAGCCAACGGCCCCAGCAGAGATGACCCTGGCCAGGAAGCAGAGCAGGCCCCTTCCCGACCTCAGAGCCCAAGGTAAGATCAGGTTGTCCTATAACCATGTCCAGATAAGCATGTGATGCCGTTGACTAGGCTTGGGAAGCAGCAGGCCTAGGTGAGACAGCTAATTCTAGCCCTTCTGAAGCTACTTAGTGCTTTAGAGTACACCTCCAGCAGCACTCCACTGAGATTACAGGTGTGTGCCTCTGTGGATGTTTCCAATACCTTTCATCTCGACTACATTCCCCAGGCAAAACCTAGAAGATAGCAGGAAGTGCAGAAATCTGTAGAGGTTATATTAACTTTAAAAAATTATGGGACTGCAGAGACAGATTGTAATTTAGGGTACCTGCTCTTTTATTAGAACTGCCTGTAACCTTAGCTCCAGACGGTCCAACGCCCTCTTCCGACTTCCACAGGTGCGTGCACTCATGTGCATATACCCACTCATAGACACGCGTGCATACACATAAATAGTAAATCTAAAAAAATTTAAAACTATCTGCCTGTAATTCCAGCAGTGCAGAACTAGAGGCGGGCAGCTCCCTATAATCCCAGTGCTCTAAAATGGGAGCCAGAGGCTCAGGGGTAGTTCAAGGTCACTGAAAATTTGAGCAGGCAGAGGCAGGTGGATATCTGTGAGTTCAAGGCCAGCCTGGTTTATATTCTAGGACAGGCTCCAAAAAACTACAGAGAAACCCTGTCTAGATAAACAAACAGACCAAAAAAAAAAAAAAAAAAGAGTCCGTTATGACTTAGAAATCCAGTCACTACTGCAGGCAGTCCAGGTTTGCTTTTATTTGTGGATGAGACATGATCTTTCCCTGTGGAAGTCCTTCTCCCTCAGCCTTCCACGTGCTGAGATTGTAGATGAGCCCAGCCAGGTTTGCTTTTAGGGAAAAAAAGTACCGTAAAGCCCTCAGATCAGCTCTTACCTTCAGTCACAGATTCCTGTGAGAACCTTCAAACACCATTCCTGGCTGCCTCTCTACTTCTTGGAGACCCCAGTATGTTCTGGCTGCTGCCAAAAATGGTGCAGCACAGCTTGAATCTTTGTCCTTGGTGAGAACACCAAGTTCCTCAGGAATTAGAAAATGAGATTCACTGTGAGATCCAGCCATTCTACTCCTGTGTCAAGAGAATTGAAAGCTGGGCAGCTTGGCATGGTTCTGAATGCCTATAATCCCAGCACTCAGGACCCCAAGTTTAAAGACAGTCTGGGCTACACAGCAAAATCTGTCTAAATAAATAAATGCAGGGATAATTAAAGAATTGAAATCACGCTATTTGTTTAGACATCTGCTGCGCTATGCATGATAGCACTGAAAATGGGAAGCAGCCAGTATCCAAGGAAAAGTGGGCAGATTAGCAGAAATGGTGTATTCTTTCAATGAAATACTACTAGAATATGGAGCCGGGCAGTGGTGGTGCATGCCTTTAATCCCAGCAGAAGCAGGCAGATCTCTGAGTTCAAAGCCAGCCTGGTCTAGTTCTAGGACAGGCTCCAAAGCTACAGAGAAACAGTGTCTCAAAAAGAAAGGGGGGGGGGGGATGTACTATGTTTACTACAAGGTAGATGACATAATGATTCTGTAAGACAGAAACTGTGAGCTGCCAGCAAGCAGAGATTCCAGTCTCATAAGAGCTCTGGGCCTGAGCAGGTGTGATAGTGAATGCCTTTATTTCCAGAACTCAAAAGGCCAGCCTTGTTTACAAATCAAGTTCCAGGTCCCCTAAGGTCACACAGTGAGATGCTGTCTCAAAAAAATCTCTGATCCTGGATAGTTAGTGACAGCTGCACAACATGAGGAATGGAAGTTATGTTTTTAGACTATTACTTTACCACAATAAAAACCTGGGGGTCATCAGGTTGCTCGGTGGTTAAGGCATTTGCCACCAAGCCTGAAGACCTGAGTTTCATTCTTGAAACCTGGGAACTTGTGGCATGCAAGTACAACCATGAAAACACATGGATGTACAATAAACAAAAGAATTTTTTTCTTAAAACATTTGGGGTAGAAGTTAAGTGACCATATATGACTTTAGTTTATTGTTCTCTTGCTAGCAGAGAAGAAAGCAATGCACCACTCTCTCTCCCTGAATTAACCAGAAGGCTCACAGAGGCGAATAAGAAAATAGCTGAGTTACCAGACAGTGTAAAGGTAAGGGTGTTGGAGATACTTCAGGACGAACTCTGAAGGTCAGCTACATCTACCAATATTGTATGTTCTTAAAATTTTAGGATACAAAAGTAAGATGTGCGCCACGTGGTGGTGGAGGTGCACATCTTTAATCCCAGATTAAGATGCAGGCAGATTGAGAGGCAGAGGTGGGGGGGGGGGTCCTTGAATTCAAGGCCAGCCTGGTCTATAGAGCGAGTTCCAGGGCAGCTAAGGCTACACAGAGAAGCCCTGTCTCGAAAAACAAACAAACAAAAGAGTTGGGGGTGCTGGTGCATGCCTTTAATCCCAGCACCTGGAAGGCAAAAGAAAGGCAGATCTCTGAGTTTTAGGGCTGTTTGGTCTACAGAACAAGTTCCAGGACAGCCAGAGGTATACAGAGAAAGCCTGTCTTTAAAAGACAAAAGAGGAGGGCTGGAGAGATGGCTCAGAGGTTAAAAGCACTGACTGCTCTTCCAAAGGTCCTGAGTTCAATTCCCAGCAACCACATGGTGGCTCACAGCCATCTGTAATGACATCTGGTGCCCTCTTCTGGCCAGCAAGCATACAGACAGACAGAGCACTGTAGACATAATAAATAAATAAACAAATAAATAAATAACTCTTTAAAAAAAAAAAAAAAAGACAAGCCGGGCAGTGGTGGCGCACGCCTTCAATCCCAGCACTGGGAGGCAGAGGCAGGCGATCTCTGTGAGTTCGAGGCCAGCCTGGTCTACAAGAGCTAGTTCCGGGACAGGAACCAAAAGTCACAGAGAAACCCTGTCTCGAAAATCAAAAAAGAAAGAAAGGAAGGAAGGAAGGAAGGAAGGAAGGAAGGAAGGAAGGAAGGAAGGAAGGAAGGAAGGAAGGAAGGAAGGGAAAGAGAGAGAGAAAAAAAACTTAGGGTGCAGTTGTCTCTGCATAGCTGAAGTGATTTGTGAAAGTAGCAGTACTAAGCACACAGTAGGCTTACAGCTCAGTCTTGGGGAAAACTAAGCAAGAGTTATGTATGGTTGAGATGTAAAATAATCAAGTCAGTACAATCAAGTAGCATGTACCCAGCACTCATGGAGGAGCAGTGTGTGGGTTGATTTGGGGACACTAGAGGACTCACCAATGAAGACATGCCAACAGACATATTAGGTTCATGCATTTCTCCTCCACAGAATTGCCATTGCACGCCCCTGCAGACACTGCCTTGTCTTGTTGTTTTAGGCCTGGCCCTTCCCAGATGTGCTGGAGTGCTGCCTTGTCTTGCTTCACATCGGGTCCCAGTGTCCTGGTGCTGTGAACCCTGAGATGCAGCAACAGGCCGAGGAGCTCCTTCAGAAATATGGCCACACTAGAGCTTACAGAAGATACTGCCAGACCCTGCACACATGAACTTCCAGAGGTCATAAACCATGTCACACATATGTGACAGCTTTCTTCTCAGTCACAGCTCACCTGGCCTTCACCCTGATCTTCAATGGAAAGATGCTGTGGTCACCTGACATCTGAGGGTGAAGCTTGGATCCACTTACAATGGAACCTGCCTGGTGCCTCCCAAGTGGTTTCCTGTAATGGAGCGGAGAGCCAGCAGGGTTGCTCAGAACCAGTCCTCACCAAGACTACCGTCTCCAGCCTTACGTGGTTTCCCCAAAGAGAAACCTTTGTACTCACCCAAAGTCTGTCCATCCCAGATGCAGCTGCCTTTATAAACCCTTACCTTCGGAAGTGTAGCATTCTGTGGGAGGTGCATTTGACACACAGCAGTGTTGGGTTAGGGCTTTCCCACTTCTCAAAGACTAAAAGAATTGTTGGCCTTGCCATCGTGTTGACTTGAATATTAGCTTTCTGACAACAGAGCTAATGTTCTCCAGATTTTGTGACATGACTGATGGTGGTCAGACAGCTCAGGAAAAAAAAATCACTGTTAGTGGTTCTTTAACCTTTGGGGTCATAAACCCTTTTTGAGAATTGACTAAAACGCAGCCTGGAGAACAGCACCTATTTCCTCGTTTTACCTGTCCCTCCCAGATCATTAGACTTAACTTTACACCCTGGAACCCCAAGTACTATTTATTCCCCAGCCCTGGGCCTGCTGCTAGTTACCACACAGCAGGACGGGTCAGAGGCTGATGCCTCCACCATCGCTGGTCTAGAATGGGAAAAGCAGACGTGCTCAGGTTGGGTGGGCAGAGCATACCTTCTTCCTGTCTCTCTTGAGGTCCACTGTGAAGGCTTCATCTGTGGGCATCAAGAAATAGTCCCAGCTGGAATTCCATGGGATGTGCATTTTGAGCTAATTGTGTGTGCCTGGCTTCGGGGTCTAAAAAATGCTAAGCCCCAAGAAAAGGAAGTACTGTACCATTGTGTGAACTCTTAAGAAGATGCATTGGTTTTAAAGGCAAGAGTCTTGACAAATGTGAGTGGGTTTGACTACATAAAGGACGGGATAATTCCAAGCAATTTCATCTACAGAAGGGGAAAGGTTAGCTCCCTCCTCTTGAATAAAGAGTAAGTTGGTAACTACAAACTCACCTTTGTGATTTGCTGAAACCAGCACTTGTTGGGAGCAACCCTGCACACTGCAGTAACCTCTGTCACTGCTGGGAAAAACCAGAAGCAGGAGGAATTGCCTGGGCTCTGAAGCAAGACCTTGTCTCAGAAATAGTAATAATCCAATGAGCTAGAGCGATGGTTCCAGTTAAGAGCACTGGCTGTTCTTCCATAGGACCTGGGTTCAATTTCAACTCCACATGGTGGCTTACAGCCATCTGTAACTCCAATTCCAGGGGATCCATCACCCTCTTCTGACCTCCACATCACCAGATATACCCGTAGTACATAAACATATGCATTCACCCAATAGAAAAATGACAGAAAATTGAATGAGCCAACTGCTCATTTCAGTAATGTGTGTTATCAACTTACTAACATTTGGATATTATTACTTCTGTATCCCTTCTTATGAGAATCACAAATTCAGAGATGCAAAGGTGTTCACTCAAAGTTCTAGCAGAAAGCAATCTTTTTGGGGGGATGGCCTAGACCCATTCAGTTCCCTTCTCCCACCTGTCTTTTTTGGTGAGAGAGGGCTTGGCTTTTGGATTTTTGACACAGGGTTCTCTGTGCTGTCATCAAACTCTGTAGACCAAACTGGCCTCATACTCCGAGATCCGCCTGCCTCTGCCTCCCAAGTGCTGGGATTAAAGGAGTGCGCCACCACTGAGCCCTCTTCCACCTCTTACTGGTTCCCTCATGCTCTGCATCTGCTCCTCCAGCAATGACTGCATTCCCTTCTCTTTCTGCACCTTCACCTCCTGCCTCTTCTCAGCACCTCGCCCTGCATCAGGTCTTGTCCAGCTGCTGCCACTCCCTATCCCTTAATCTCAGTGCCCTTATACATTTCAGGCTATATGTGTGTAAGTCATCTACTGTCTGGCTGCAGGTAGACTACCTGCAGTGAGGAGGACTGTGTCCTCAATTGCTCATTCCAACACTTAAGTGGGTAGATATTTAGTGAAAGTTCATTGGCTGAATAAGCTAAGAAACTAGTAATTTGCAAACACAGGACTCTTCAAATGCCTGCATTGGCTGTCAAAAGGCTAAGGTTGCTCAGCCTTGCGAACAGAACAAAGGGCTGAACTCTGGTGACCAAAAGCAGTTCTCTCTTCATCTCTGCTAGCACCACCTCCACCAGAGGACACCCCCGCTTTGTTCAGCCCCATAAGCTCACATGACAGTTCTCACAGACCGTGTGCCGTCCTCTAGCACCTTTCTATGTAGTGCTCAGTCCCACTTTCATCTCAGCGGTTTGAGTGTCGTCTGAGAAAAGCGGAATGTGCCCGCACTAAGACCCAGAAGCACACCAGGGAACCTTTACTGAGGGCCACTCTGCTGCCTTCACCACAGACCTCACTGGGATCTTAGTGCAAACCCACCAGCCGAAGTTCTAGATCTGTACAGTGGGGCAAACCAATACATCTCGCTATTCAGGCGGATGACTCGGAGATCAGGGCCAGCCTATGTAACACAAGACCCTGACTAGAAGGACCCCAATACCTGACTGTCTTTACCTTTTTGTTCTAACAGAAAAGGCTGGAAAAAAAAAAAAAAAACTAAAGTTCAAGATGTCCTGCATAATCCCTTGACCCTAACCCACTATATACGAGTGGCCAAGGAGAATTCAATTAAAACTACTCTGTCCTAGTAAGGCCCAACAACCAGCGGAGTGTGAAGGTGTGCTCCCTCAATGAGACCTTCCTTCCAAGGCTGGTTGGTTCTGAGGCACACCATTCCTGTCACAGATACCAGTTCCTAGCTACCAAAGACCACACCTCATGCCAGTGGTTAAAAAGCAATCTTTATTTTACAAAATTAAAAACATAAATAATATTTACAAGCATCTTAAATACCAGCTTTAATACTTGACATTTTGTAATCATTTCAAATTCAGTTTCCCACAAGCTTTTAAAATGGATGCCCACTCCAGTTTTGATGAGCTGCTGCCGTCTATCTCTGCCTCCCAAAGAAGTTTCTGCTTTCTCAAAATTGTACTTTCTATAGCCATTTAAAAAACAGTGTGCTCCTAAAGTAACCTTAAAAAATCATTGGGTTCTGAGCACAGCTGTGGGAATGGTTCCACAAGGTCTGGGGTGAATTCCCTCGCTGCCCTGCTCACAAGTGATTCCTGTGACTTTCCAGAGACTCAGCGTTCCAGAGCTCAGCTTTACCACCTCTTGACAGCTCAGACTTGCTATTTCCATTTATAAATAAATAAATGGAAGCTGAGAGAACACAGCTGATTTAGATCACCCTGCTGGGAACAAAACAGACTTGGAGCATGACCTCTCTAGGGTAGTTCATCTGGAAAGGTGACTGGGAGGCTCAGGTGCCACCTTACCACCACAAAAAGGAGACTGAACTCTGCAGATGGCAGCAGAGCAGTCATTCGCTGTCAGGACAGCCTGCTGGTGCAGCCCTACTTCTCAAGAACATACACCATGTTCCCTGGCAGCCTCAGCTCATCTGAGAATCTTCATCAGAGCAGCAAAGCCAAAAGAAAAAGAATGACAACACTTAAGAGTCATATACATTTTACTGGTTTGTTTCAGACATCCTGGAGGTTTAAAAAGGTGTCCATGGAGCCATGGATGCTGGTGGCAGGAGGCAGCAGAGGGGCGTGGGCATGAGGACAAGGAAGACTTGTTTACAAATTCAGAGCAAACCCCCTTCTGGATCTAAAATAAAGGCATCTTTAAACAGAAACCCAGAGTCTCTGCTTGGAGCAGATGCAGGTGAGTGGCTGGGGCGGATGGCACAGGCAGCACGGTGCACGTGCTATCACTGCTGCATGGTGTTGATCATGGCCAGGATGCTCATCTTCTCCTGGGCAGAGTCCACATCCTCATTCTGCTTCTGAGCCACTCCCGTGCCCAGGCCATAGAGGCGCCCACAGTACTTGGCATCATCAATACTGTCCTCAAAGAATAGCTGCAGAATAGGACAGAACCAGCTGAGAATGGGGCCAGGAGTCATGCCACCTCCCAGCTTCTTATGCCCTGACACTCAGCAGACTGGACACTAACTCAGCAGTGACACCAAACATCTGCATAGGCTCTTCCTGCTCCTTTCTCTACACTGGGGCTCTGCTTCTGAAACATACTTGGCATTCCTATGATTTGTCACTGCTGGGAACCCTGAGCGGCTGCCAGACAAGGCAGTGATTAAGAACTGAGGCTTGCCAAGTCATTTCAACTCCATTCCATTCATGGTTCCTTATTTATAAAAGTCATGAAAGCCAGGCAGAAGTGGCGCACATGTAAGCCTAGCACCGAGAGCTGAGGCAGAAAGTGACTGTGTTAGGAGATCATGGGCAGTGAGCATTCAATACGCAGCTCAACCTTAGTATCACTGAGCAGAAACTGTCAAGACCAATCACAAAATGTTGAGCACAGCCTAGCCAGAAGCACCACCTCTGCTAAGTATAACAGACATCTCCTAGGCATCACCAAGTGTGCCAGCTGGCAACCACCAACCTAATACACTTGTTACTATTTCGATGTAATATGTTCCTAGAAGTCCTTGTGTTGAAGGCTTAGCACCGATTTGTAGGGTTACTAGGAAATGGCAAAACTTTAAGTTTTGCCATTTCGCACTCGGGCCCCACTGGAGCATTACCTCTTTCATCCTGAAGAAAGCCATCCCTGTCAGCAGAGAGTCTGAGCCTGCTTGGTGCTGCCTTCCAATCCTCTGCAGATCCAGCTGGTCAGCCACCTCCTGAAGACCTCCCTAGAGAGCACAGAAAGCAGACATCACACACCAACACTCTTCTCCTGGACTCAGGTGAGTCTACTCGAGAGTCCAGTTAGCGGTAGAACAGGCCTCAGTAGCCGTTTTTAGATCATCACTCTCTTCTTCCCAAACAAAACACATGAATTCTCTCCTACCACACAGGCTGCAGACATCAAACTCAGGGCCACCAGGTTGGACCTCCACCCACTGAGCCTTCTCACAGGCCCAACCTCTTCAACTGTTTTTTGTTTTTTTGGAGACAGGGTTTCTCTGTGTAGCCCTGGCTGTCTTAGAACTCACTCTGTAGACCAGGCTGGCCTCGAACTCATAGAGATCAGCTGCCTCTGCCTTCCGAATGTTGGGATTAAAGGGGTGCACCACCACTGTCTGGTCTTTTTGAACTTATGGGCTAGAGAGATGGCTCAGCAGTTAGTAGCATTGGTTGCACTTCAAGAGGTCCTGAATTCAGTTCCCAGCAACCACATGGTGGCTCACAACCATCAGTCATGAGATCTGGCATCCTCTTCTGGTCTGCAGGCAGAACACTGTATACATAATAAATAAATAAATCTTAAAACCCCTCAAAGAATGTGGGACAGTGTAGACAGTGGGACTGTCATAACATACTGCACATGGCTTCCTGTCACCAACTACTTTGAGGTTCTCAGACCTAAGAGGAAAGCAGCCAGACTCAAGAAGCAAGAAATAGGGCTCTAGGGGCTGGAGAGATGGCTCAGCGGTTAAGAGCATTGCCTGCTCTTCCAAAGGTCCTGAGTTCAATTCCCAGCAACCACATGGTGGCTCACAACCATCTGAAATGAGGTCTGGTGCCCTCTTCTGGCCTTCAGGCATACACACAAAGACATAATAAATAAATAAATTAAAAAAAAAAAAAGAAATAGGGCTCTAGGCTGGAGAGACAGCTTGGCGGGTAACTGCTCTTCCAGAGGACCAATTCCCAGCACCCACATGACAGCTCACAACTGTCTGTAAATACAGTTCCAGGGGATCTGACACCCTCATACCAATGCACATTCTAAAGAAGGAGGAGGAGGAGGAGGAGGAGAAAATAGGGCTCTTTTGGTGCCAAGTTCCAACAAAGGCAGCTACAGGAAGCCCTGTGCCGCTCAGCCCAATCAGCACCCTCTTTAGAGAAGTACGGCAGGTCTCAAAAAAAGCTGAATATATCAGTAAAGCAAAACATGTCTTGAGTTTAAGGTTTGCTTGTTTTATTACAAATATTAAGGAGAATGTTGTTTATTACCTTAAGATTTTTGCAGCTCTTCATCAGGTATTTCACATCATAAATAGATGGGAAGAAAAGATTCAGGATGTGGAAAAACTCATGTTCTTCTTCTGGCAATCGAGAATCTGTAAGCAACTTTACCATGTAGCCAAAGTCATAACCACTGAGGGAAGAAGGAAGCTGGGGTCAGAGAGCAGCTTCAAACCAGCCTGAAACCACCTGAGGCTGGGGACTTGATTAATCTCAACTTCACATTCAGGAAGTACCTAGGGCAAGCTACTATGGGAAGCAAACAAGAGCCTGAGAGTTTGTGTGAATTTAATTCATCAAAACTCAAAAGTAAGGCTTTAGGGGCCGTAGAGAAGGATCAGCTAAAAGTAATCAGGAGGATCAGAGTTCAAATCCTAGCACCCATATCAGATAGCTCACAAATTCCTGTAAAAAAAGCTCCAAAGGGTCAAAACACACACACACATACACACCCCTTTAAAAACAAAAAACTGGGGCTGGAGAGAAGGCTCAGTGGTCAAGAGCACTGCTTGCTCTTCCTAAAGGTGCTGAGTTCAAGTCCCAGCAACTGCATGGTGGCTCACAACCATCTGCAATAAGATCTGGTGCCCCTTCTGGCCTGCAGGCATACATGCAGACAGAATACTGAGAACACCGCATACTAGATAGATAGATAGATAGATAGATAGATAGATAGATAGATAGATAGATAGATAGATGATAGATAGATAGATAGATAGATAGATAGATAGATAGATAGATAGAAGCAAGCCAGCCAGCCACCAGGGTGGTGGTGGCATACAGACCTCTGTGAGTACCAGGCCAGCATGATCTACAGAGTGAGTTCCAGGACAGGCTACAAAGCTACAGAGAAACCCTGTCTTGGGAGGGAAAAAAAAAAGAGAAAAAACTTCCAAGAGTATTGAAAGAATATCTGCCATTTGAAGACGTTAGGAAGGACAATCCACACCAGGCTGAAAACAGCCAAGCACACAGCAGACTCCATCCACCTATCCACCTGGAATACTTCACAGAAGGATATGTAAAGCAAAACGTCTATATGGCCCCAATGTTCCCTACACACTGGACACATGCGCACCAGCACCACCTCCAGCTTCGCACTGCTGCTGCCAAAGGGCCAGTACAACTCCAATCCACAAGAATTCAGTTCCTCTCCAATCCAGCCAAAGTCAGCAGGCAGAGGCAGTGAAAGAAGAGACAGGCCATGGTGCCCAGGGACTGACCTGTGAAATGAAAGCCACTTGACGTTGTCACAGAGAACCACTCCTGACGTCATGAGCAGCTCTGCGAAGTGCAGTGTGTCGATCCCTTCCTCCTCGTGCTTCTGGAACTGCAGCCCTGAGTTTGCAAGGAGGTCTATGGAATCCTGGGAGTACATATCCTCTCTGAAAAACAAGGTGCCAGTGTGAGCTGGCGGGTATGAGACAGAAGCAGGGCAAATATCACCACCGGCCTATAATTTGGAAACACAGCATCCCCAAAGCACTCAAAAACCAACATACACATTTCCTACAGAGGATCTACATCCTCTCACTTTGGATTGTTTTGTTGTTGTTGTTTTTAAATGAATGAATCAGAGTTGTAAGCCACCATGTGAGTGCTAGGTATCAAGTCCAGGTCTTCTGGAAGGCAGCCAGTGCCTTAACCATTGAGCCACCCTTCCAGCTCATTTCTTTGTTTTCAATCTTTTTAAAAGATTTATTTATTTTACGTATATGGGTGGGGTGGGTTTTTTTTGTTTGTTTGTTTGTTTGTTTTGGTTTTTTTGTTTTTCGAGATAGGGTTTCTCTGTGTAGTAGTCCTGGCTGACCTGGAACTAGCTCTTGTGATCAGGCTGGCCTTGAACTCTCAGAGATCTGCCTGCCTCTGCCTCCCGAGTGCTGGGATTAAAGAAAGGCATGCACCACCATGGCCCAGCCATATATGGGTATTTTAACTGCATGTATGTTCGCATACCAGAAGAGGGCATTCAGACCCCCATGGCAGACAGTTGCCATGCAGGGACTGGGAATTGAACTAAACCTCTGGCAGAGTAGCTGGTACTCTTTAAGCATTAAACCATCTATCCAGCCCCTTTTTTTTAAATTTTTAATTATTCAAATTTTTATTCCTTTGTATCATTTAAAATAGAATTAAACAAAACAAATGAAACAAAACTAAAACAAGTTTATTCTAAAAATAAATAAATAAGGAGGGCTGGAGAAGAGGTTCAGTACATAAGAACTTTTGCAGAGGAACCATTCCCAACACCCACGTAGTGGCTCACAACCATCTATAACACCAGTTCCAGGGGATCTGATGCCCTCTTCTGACTTCTGTGGACACCAGGCATATACATGATACATAGACATACATGCAAGCAAAATAGCAATATGCATAAAATAGAATTTAAAAATCTACTGTTGCAGAGTATTTGGTCACACTATGTAAAATGTGTCACTGTTTTATTCTGATTGGTTTAATAAAGAGCTGAACAGGCAATAGCTAGGCAGGAGACGATGGGAGGGATTTCCAGGGAGAGAGGAACTCAGGTGCACAAGGAATTAGCCAGCAAGACACAGAGAGAGTTGGATGTACAGAATGGAGGAGAGGTAAAAAAGCCACGTGGCAGAACATAGATTAATAGAAACTGGTGAATTTAAAAGAGCTAGTGGGACAAGCCTAAGTTAAGGCCAAGCTTTCATAATAAGTCTCTGTGTCATTATTTGGGAGCTGTCAGTCCAAAGACAGTCTGACAAGAAAGACCAGCTATAATCTATTCAGAACTTTTGCCAGCTTTTTTGTTTTAAGGTAGGGAATTTGAGACAAGTTCCATCTATGTAGCCCTGGCTGTCCTGGAACTGATTATATAGACCAGGCTGGCCTTGAACCCACAGAGATCTGCCTGCCTCTGCCCAAAGTGTTGGGATTAAAGGTGTGCACCAAGACAGCCTATCTTTTGCCAGTTTCTAACTGGGTTGTCTCTCTTCTGTGGTATTGGGGAATAAATGCCTGGGCCTCAAATATAATATTTGAGTACTATTCCACTGAGCTACACAACAGCCTGGAATTTTTTTTTAGGCTAAGTTGCACGAGTTCTTTAAGGAAAACCAAGCTTCCCAGACATTGTGGTTTAGTTCCAGCACCCTCGGGACAGAGGCAGACAGATTTCTGCAGGTTTGAGGCCAGCCTAGTCTACAGATCCAAAGCTAGAGATCCTGTCTTAAAAAAAAAAAAAAAGGAAAATGCCTCTTCTTAACTATTCTAACATCTATGTATATTGAATGAAATAAAAATAATGTGTGGTAACACACACCTTTAATCCCAGCATTCTGGAGACAAGAGACTGGTGGATTTCTATGAGTTCAAGTTCAGCCTGAGATACATAGCAAGTTCCAGGACAGCCAGAGATATATAATAAAGACCCCACCCCCACCCCCCAAAAAAAAGGAAAATAAAGCTTTGATAAGTAAAACCTATGGCAATCGATTCAGTCCACTCAAATGCAGCCATCTAAGAATAACACCAAGGGGTCTCTCAGACACTTACGTCAGGTTGAACTTGAAGTTGAACTGCCATGTGTTGATTCCAGAAGGGTACTCCCCTTTCTCATTTGTGAATGTAAGGCCCAGTTGAATGATTTTTAGAAGGTCAACATTGCACCGCAAAAGCTGATACTGGTAATCTATGGAGCTTCGAAATTCACCAATTGGTCGTACCACAACACCTGGAAACTCTGTGTCCTAGGAACAAAAGCCTCTCACCAGTAAGTCTCACCAAAGTGGCTGCTGGACTAGCAACTCATGAGCAAAATTGCTCTTCATTTTCTAAAAGCCCCAAGATTAGCCCCCAAGGTCTGGAATACAACAGGACCTGGGACAGGTGACTTGGTAACTGAGGGGAAATGGGAAGTCAGGTAGGACCTTTTTTTTTTTTAAAGAATAATTTTTATTTCATGTGCATTGGTGTTTTGCCTGCATATATGTCTGTGAGGATGCTGGATTCCCTGGACTTGGAGTTTCAGACAGTTGTGAGCTGTCACATAGGTACGAGGAATTAAATGAGTCCTCTGGAAGAGCAACAAGTGCTCTCACTGTTGAGCCATCCCTCCAAAGGAGTTTCTCTATTTCTCTATCTATCTATCTATCTATCTATCTATCTATCTATCTATCTATCTATCTATCTATCTAAGTGCATTGCTGTTTTGCCCTAGGTGTTGGGTCCCCTGGAATTGGAGTTACAGTTGTGAGCTGCCATATGGGTGCTAAGAATTGAACCTGGGTCCTCTGGAAGAGCAGTCAGTGCTCTTAAGCACTGAGCCATCTTTCCAGCTAAGAGCATCTAATATGTGTTAAATACAAATACAGCCAAGTTGGATATGATGGCTCACAAGACCTTTGCTCCTTCACATTAGTTTGTGTGTGACTTGAGAGAGCAGTATGGCTGCTGGCCTGCTATTCAGAGCTCTCATCAAGGACAAATGCAGCCATTCTTTTTCTTGAGTGACTGTCTCATTGCCTTGTATATATAAAACTTTTCCCTTATAAAGCCCAGACTGACCTAAACTTGCTGGTTGTGAACCCCTGATCTCCCCACAAGTGTTTTGAACCCCCATCCCAAGCGTCAGGATTACAGGATCTTAGTCTGTTGGGAGAGCTTATAAGGCTAATGCTTCTCACAGAATAGTGAAAGCAGGGTAGCCAGACAGTGGCAAGCAGCAAGCCTGGAGTGGAACAGAGCCCCTGCTTGCTCAGGGGCTGGTTCAAGACAGCCTTGCCTTAGCGAGGTCAGGCAGGAAAGTAAGTAACAGATTACACCTCTTCCCACTTTATCCAGAAATGCCAGATCTGGAATTTGCTTATCTCCTGACTTTTGAGTACAAGCAACACAATATCTAAATATTTTGAAAACAGAAGCAAGGCCTGTTAGCACACGCCGGGATTCCCAGCACTTGGGAGATAGAGGCAGGAAGATCAGGAAGTCAAGTCATCCTCCTGATATATAGCAAGTTCAAGAGGAGCTTGTGTTACATGAAACCATGTCTCCAAATACCACACGGCCAAATCACATGTGTGAAGAGACACCTATGGGGCCGGGGCAGGTCAGATGCTAGAGCACTTGTCCACCACCACACATACGATGGGCACAATGGCGCAGACCTATAACCTCAGCCAAGAAGGCAGAAGCAGGAAGATCAGCACAGGTTCATTTCAAGGCCTGCCTGGGCTACCTAGGGAGCGCGGGGCTAGTCAGAGCTACCTATCCAGATCCTAAAATAAACAAAAATAAAAGTATAAAAAGACTTTCAAACAGGAACGTTACAAAAACTTGTATCAGAGGTTGTGCCCTCCTCAGAGACACTGGGTACCTTGATTGACAGAAGAAATGTGTATTTCCATCAGTCTAACCTTTGGTGGTAAGACCTACTCACCATGGCGATGTAGCTGTAGCTGAGAACAATCTCTCGAATCTTCCGCATCTCTTCCTCTAGATTGCTGGCCCACACTTCACAGATGACCTGGCTGTTTTCCACAAGTGCTGCAGGCATCCTGAAGGCGCCTCAGGAGCCACTGTGCATTAACTAGGCAAGCGAACACGCCTCCTCTCGCTGGATTTGATCGTCCACACTGGGTCCAATCTAGACTTAAAGATTTTGAAATCGTAAGTTTACATATGGTCTAAGTTGCCAATAAAACAAACATCAAAACTGTATTTTAGACAGATACAGTGACACAGACATATGATCCTAACGCCCACACCAGGAGGCCAAGGAAGAAAGATGGGGAGTTTAAGACCAGTCTGACCTACCTACTGTAGGTACAGTACACAGAGGTCAGAAAGGGCATCAAATCCCTCAGAACTGTACTTAGAGATGGTTGTGAGGCACCATATATGGGTGCTGGGAACCAAACCTGGATCTTCTGCGAGACAAGCAAATGCTCTTGGCTGCCTAGCCCTCTCCGCAGCCCCGTGAGGCTAAGCACTAACTCCACTATAAGAACAGAGAGGTGGGACTGGAGAAATGGCTAGTTGAGCACTAGTTACTGCCGAGGATCCGACTGGTAGTCTACATCCATCTATAATTCCAGTTCCGGGGAGTCTGATGCCCTCTTCTGGCCTCCACAGGCACCAAAGAGACACATGGTAAACACACATTCTGCAGGCAAAATTCATTCACATAAAGTAAAATAATTAAAAAAAAAAAAAAAAAAAGAACTGAAGGTGGCAAGTAAAAATAATTCACGCAGGAACTGGCTGGTGATGTATACCACAGGACAGTATGAGCTCTGAATAATACTGTCACTACAGCAAATTAACACAGAGCCCTCGTGTTTCACCAAACAACCTCAGGCTTGATCAGGACGCCAAAACACACACATCCCATGACAAGGTGCCCTGGCATTAACTTGGGAAGTTAAACACAAGTTAGAGGCCAGTGTAGCAATACAGGGAAACACTGGGGTGGGGGTGTACACAATGGCATAAGAGCTTCTTTTAAATATTCTCTAAGATTTATTTTTATTATTTTATTTGTCTTCATCTGTGCACCATATGTGTGCTTGGTGTCTGAGGAGTTGGTGAGCCTCTATGTGGTTGCTGGGAATTGAACCAGGGTCTTTCACAACAATAAGAAGTGCCCTTAACCACTGACCTAACTCTCTTGCCCATAAAAGCTCTTTTAATGCAAACCCACTGTATGGATCCTCAACACAGTATGTTATGGTGGGCTCCAGTGCACAGGGCAAAACAATTCAGTAACAGTAAAGGAAATAGAGGGGTTTCTAAAGACCAGAACAAGGGAAATCTTTGTTTTCTACCTCAGAACCGACAGGTGCAGCAGAAACTCCAGAACAGAGCGAGGATCACTGTTCTGTTTTGTATTGTTTGGGTTGGGTTTTTTTTTTTTTTTTTTTTTGGTTTTTTGAGTTTTTTTTTGAGACAGACAGGGTCTCCCTGTGTAGCCCTGGCTATCCAGGATCTCACTCGGTAGACCAGGTTGGCCTTGAACTCAGAGATTCACCTGCTTCTGCCTCCCAAGGGCTGGGATTAAAGGTGTGCGCCACCAACCAGTTGAGGATTGTTCCTAATACTGTCTACTTTTCCTTACAAAACCTTTCATTCAAGGCAGTCTACACTTTACAGATGCTAAAAACTTACGTGACTGTGTGGTGGCTCCCCACATACATGTGGCAGCTACTTCTTAAAGGCCCATCCATTTTTCCTGCTTTCGCTCTCTCAATGAAGGCTTGCGAGTGAACGGAGGACAGGAAAGATGCACATTCACAATGAACTGCAGTAAATGCAACTTCCTGACAACTGAGAGGAGTTCCCCAGGTTGGCCCAAGTGTTACAGGCATGAGCCACCTCTGGCTGCTGCAGTCACTGTCCATGCCCCCTTACTGTGAAACAGGTGCCACGACCTTGCTCCCCACCCCCATCACTGCCATAAACTACAGAATGTAAGTGGGTGGCACTCCTGAACTTTTAAAAGATGTTTCCATGCTGGGAGGTGGTAGTGCACACCTTTAATCCCAACACTAGGGGAGGCAGGTGGATCTCTGTGAGTTCGAGGCCAGCTTGGTCTACAAGAGCTAGTTCCAGGACAGGCACCAAAACTAGAGAAACCTTGTCTCGAAGAAGAAAAAAAAA